ATGGCTCCCTGGGAAGGGCTGGAGGCCCCCTATTTCGAATTAAGTGTCTACACAGCACTTAATTCAAAATAGTTATTTCAAATTTGGCGTTACTCCTCGTAGAATGAGGTTTACTAAATTTGAAATAAGTGCTCCACTATTTTGAATTTATTTTGAAATAGCGGTTTGGCTATGTAGACACTATTAAAGTTAATTCGAAATAACTGCTGTTATTTCAAATTAACTTTATAGTGTAGACATACCCTACACTATAGTCAAAAGAGGCAGATAAAGACCATTAATTAGCAAACCACAAATGGTCTGGTAGAACTTAAAGACTAACAAAACATGTAAATGATAGAATCTCATGATTGCTTAATTTCTGTTCACTGTTGAATCTATAGATACTTTTGACAGGATCACTCTCACAGGATGCTTTACTTCAGATTATTTTTTCTTGGTGCAATTAAAGTTTTAGCAGAAAAAACTATATGGCTCAACGTCTCTATAATGATATTTGTACTGAAGATCTCCAGGGCTGGCTGAACAAACTAGGCACCTGCTAAAGCAGGTGTTTGTATAAAATCGGTATTGAAAAATATCAATACAAGGAACTTCTAGTTGAGGACAGGAAATTAGGCAGGAAAACAGCATTTGAAATTAAATTTACTAGTAAATTACTCTTGCTGAAGTCTGTAGCTTGCTGTCTTGCTAAAGATAGCCTTAATAAAGCAATACAAATATATCCAGTGAATTTTCCTCTCTTAGCTTGTCAAAGCACTCAGATTTGTGACCTTAAAATTAATTTCAAGGAAATTGAATTCAGTCATTCTAGTAAAATAGTTTAGAATGTGCTTATGGTTGTCATTGTGTTTTTTATAACTGTGTGCAGTGAATGCCAGTATTTGGAACGAAACATAATGCATGGAAGATGATGTGGCATCATAAAACATGAGTGCAAATATTTGAAGCCCCACTCACAAGCCCAAGCCCATTGAAACCAATCACACTATTTTCACATGGGTTTGCAGGGTTGGGCTTCATATTAGTATCTTTCTAAGTGTAGCAAAAGTTCAGACTTTAAATAACAGCTGTCTCTTTCAAAAGCCTGAAATGAATTGCCACCCATGGTTTCACTCTATGCTATTGATTGTGATTTGAAATTTCAAACATTAATAGTCCCTAGATGCAGAAGAAAAGAGTATCTATTTCCAGTGAAATCATCTTGACTTTGTACTGTGTTTCAGTACGGAACTTAAGTGAGCTATATGTATAGCTTGTTTTTCAAGAATTGTGTGTGAGCAAAATTCTTGAAAAACAAACCATACATCTAACTTGCACAAGTTCTCTCTCTCTGTGTGTGAGCACAAAAAAGCTTCTATGAAAAAATATTTTAGAGGAAAAAAATAAAATAAAAACGTCCAAATCCAAATGCTGTACCTACATGAAGTTACTTTATTCAAAGTTCAACTTGCCTGCTTCACGCCAGACTTTAAATGACAATAATAGATATATTTTTATGTGTAAAGCTTTTTTTCTCCAGATACTATAGTCTGTATTTCTACTTTGTATACTTGTGCAGATAAAACTGACAGATTTGTAATTGGAGTTACGTATAGTTACTAAAAATCAGAGTGATCCTTCAAGCAGGCTCAAACTTTAAAGGATAAAGACAGACTAAACAGACAAACCCATCAAAATGCCCATGCAACTATCCTCCCTCCCCCACACCCTAACTTGCATTTCAAAATGCTAATTAGGTAGTTAAATGCATGTTTCTTGTGTTTCCATTACTTAATAATTGGACATTTGTCCCAAAAGATTCCGATAGAGATCTCCTTTGGGTAAACCAAAATCGTCATTACAAATAAAAATGTTTCTGCTTTCTATACTGTAGGTTCATTGCACTTTGTGGATAGAAATATTTCACACTGGAAAGCTGGAGAGTATCACTATGAAATGAAAGCATCTGATTCAGTTCTATATTTGTAAGATTGATTTGTGACTGGTACCCTTGCAAGTTATCAGAAGGAATGGCCTGGAAGTTAGAAACAGCAGGACTTGATGGAGTAACAAGTTTGAATTTTGGCAGGGCTGACTTAGCTCTTCATTCATTTTAGCATTCAGGGGTCTTTTAGGGTATGTTTACACTACAAAGTTAGTTCGAACTAACTTTCATAGGCGCTACACTAACGCTCCGGTAGTTCGAATTTAATTCGAACTAACGGAGCGCTTAGTTCGAACTAGGTAATCCTCATTCCACGAGGATTAAGCCTAGTTCGAATTTACTAGTTCGAATTAAGGGCTGTGTAGGTCACTGAAAAGTGGTTCAGGGTCCACTTAATGTGGACATGCTAGTTCGAATTAGCAAAACGCTAATTCGAACTAGTTTTTTAGTCTAGATCCGTTAGTTCGAATTAGCTTAGTTCGAATTAACTAATTCGAACTAAGTTAGTTCGAATTAACGTTGTAGTGTAGACGTACCCTGATGGAGGCTTTTTTTATGCAACAGTGGCCTGCACTCTACATAGTGATATCTCATGGCAGGTCTGCACTGGAGGCAAACTCAAAATGAGGTTGTATGCTATATGAGATTTGAGAATTTGGCCTTTAATGAACTACTTTAA